CTATGTGTCGATTACGGATGGAGAGATTAGAAATGTGTGCAGTGATTTTTATGAACTAATTATTTTTTATAGTAAATGGAATTATTAAATAGGAAAGTTGGAAAAATCTATCGCTAAAATTTCTTGGCTTAATTTGTTCTCAAGATTTGATAGCAAAAACTTGTTATCTCAAGATTCTCAACAAAGTTATTTCAGAATCGAATGTTTTCACATTCGAACAAAACTCTTCAAGAACTTGGAATATTTCAAAGTTCTAGTTCAATAGGATGTGGCGTCCCAGATTGTTTAAGCGATGGACGAAACACATAATGGAGTGTAACTGTTGAAAAATAAATATGATAATTCATTCTCCAAATGAGCCTAAGGATAATGCTCCAGTAGCGTAATAATGGTCAAAACTATAATCTCTTTTGATAGAATATTTTAAAAACTTAAAATGTAGTTTCATTCTAAACACCTTTTAAAATGTTGAGCAGATTGAGCAACCCATTAGATGGTGTTGAGATGCAAAATCTGAGCCCAGATGACTTTAAGAGAGAGAGAGAGGTGTAGGGGAGGGCTGAGAGAGAGAGAGAGAGAGGACAAAGAGAAGGAGAGAGGAAGTAGGCCATGAAAGAAAAAAACATTGGCTAGAGAGAGAGAGAGAGAGAGGGGAGAGGTGCAGGTCCCCCATTTCTTGTGTGAGAGAGAAAATGCAGAGAGGACAGGTTCTACAGCTCGTAGGTTGTACATGTCTCACTAATTTATAGGGAGAGAGAATGGAACTTGTAGGGTGCGGTAGAATTTGAATTTTAACTCAAGATATGAATCTTAGAATGGATGATGATCTATAGGGGTCCTATACCACTATTTGTGGCAGGGTCCTAGAATCATTTCTCCTTTTATATTATTTAAAAATTTATTTTTGAAACAAATATTTTAACTATTTATTTATTTTAACTGTGGATATAGGCCAATGGGACCATCCAGGAACTATATATGAAAAGTCTACATAAAGTTTTTTTAGCGGAACCTCTATCGTAGACGCTAAACCACCTCAGACATCCCCAAAAAACCAGAAAAAATACTGTCTCCCATGTCGTTCCAGTATTCCACCCTTCCCATCTCTCAAATAGTCCAATCCATCTCGTTCCTTCCTCTCTTTCTAAATCACGGGTTTAATGATTTTGCCGAAAACACCAATAAGGAAATCAATTATGTTGACCCCAAATAAGAAAAAACAATTGTTAAAAAAAAAGCAAAAAACCCGAAATCAATTTGAAGAACCATCAAAATTGAAGAACATTAAACTTACTCAAGAAACCAAATCGAAAACTGTAAAAGCGGACCAAAAAATTGCATTTCGGAGTTTCAAACTAGGAAACTTTGTCTTTGAAGAACCAACACAAAAAATTTGCAGATTTACATGTTTCACAAAGAAACTCAGACTTGCATGGTTGGAATCTCAGCTGAGAAAACTAGTTAGAAAACATAGTTGAATATTTTCAAAAGTTTTAGAGAGAGAGAAAGATTTGGGAATTGAAGAAATGAAAAACAAAAACAGGGAGATTGTAGCGATAAGGAGGAGAGACTTGAGGAGGTTGCCCAAGAGAATTAGATGGAATACGGCGAAGTATGTGCTGTTTCTTTTGCAACTTCAAGGTTGCATCATGGCTAAGGGGCCCCTCTCTACACCATGATTCCATGAACTGGGATCCTGTTTCTAGCTTTCACCATTCCTTATTTTTGTTTCTCTTGTCATTTAAGAGAAAACCGTGGGCAATCCTAGTCTATGTTTAAAATACAAATTTTTTAAAAAATATCTATTTTTTCGAACTCTATTAAGAACTCCTCGTTTTTCAAAAATCTTCGAAATCATATTTTTTTAATGGAACCCATATATATCTGTATTTTAGTTTTTCAAAAAAAAATTTCAAAAAAACTTCTTCCCTATAAATTTATTTCTTAAAGATATGTGCATTAATAGTGGGAGTAAATTAAGAATCTTGATTTAACAAAAAATTCCATCAAAATTTTTACCAATAAGTTCCTTTAGAAAACGTGTAGAAAAAATACAAGCAATATATTTCTTAAAAACTAAGATAACAAGATAATCATATATCTCACAATAATAAGTAGATTTAGAAGAAAAATAACTCGATAAAACACCTTTTTTTTAAAAAACCCTAGAATGTCATTATAAAGAGCAAGAAAGATTCAATAATACTAAAGATTTAGGCAGCTTGGAATTCAATGTGAGATTTGAATTTACTTAAGTATTTCAATGTGAGATTTGAATTTACTTAAGTATTTCAATGTGAGATTTGAATTTACTCAAGTGTTTTGTTGCTTTTTTTATGCATAGAGAAGTTTGATTGATTTCATATTTTTATTTTTATTTTTTATTTCATTGGTGTATATAATATAGCATTTTGAATGGACCACTATTTTACATTTTTAGATGTTTATGTTTTATTTTAGTTAACACCAATCCTATACTCGGGGTCTTTTTTAATTTTTTTGAGTAATTTATGTACGGCCCCTAAAAAATAAGAAAAAAAATAAAATATTCCGTTTATAGCCCAAAGTTTCAAAGAAGGTCGGTCAACATGCGATTTTCTTTTTATCAAAATTACCCCTTGGCTCGAGGATGGCATCCTTGGACCGCATTTGAATTATTATTATCATTTAGGTTTTTTTGGGTAGGCAGTGCCCCAAGTTTTAGAGTCGTGACCAGGCGGTTCGAGGTTAGGATCCTCGGACCGATAATATTCTTTTTAAAAAAAAAACAAATAGCGGTATGAGAATGCCAACCTCGAACCACAAATGAAGTTCTTGGTGTAACTTAAATAATGTAGTCCGAGGTTGGTATCATGGGACCACTTGAAACTTCATTTGCGGTCCAAGGTTGGCATCCTCAGGCCGCGTTGTGAAACTTCATTTCCGGTCTGAGAATGTAATCTTCGAACTGCCTTTTGTTCTTTGATATATGGAATTCTAAGCGGTTCGAGTATGCCAACCTCAGGGCACCTA